GTGCTGGGGGGATCGAACCGCGGTCCCTGATGCTTTGCTAAGCTTGTTCTAAGTAGGTGCTTTAGACCACTGAGCCATCTCTCCAGCCCCTCTGTTTTTCTTTAATTTTCCTTTGCTTTTACTGTGAGATAAAGTACAGTGTCCTAGTAGAATGGAAGTGTCACACCCTCGTCTTTCCTGTCTGTCAGCAGTGGCTGCTCAAGGACACGTGTCACGGCTGCTGCGCTCCTCCTCGCTGTAAGTCTGCTCTTGCTGTTGGAGAGCGTGGACCCTAAGAGTGCCCGCTGACTTCTGACTGAAATGTCTTATGTTTTTTACTGCATGTGAAACTGACGGGGCCGGGAGATGGCTCAGTAGAATAAGCATTTCCCTGGCAAGCGCAAGGGCCTGAGTTCAATCCCTGGTTCCGCCAAAAAACAAAAAAAAAAAGAAAAAGAAAAATAAAAAAAAGAAACGGGTGAAAGGTTCTGCCCTGGAGGAGCTTGTGGGCTAGTCCAGCGATGGGCAGCCTTGCAGAGCTTTCAGTGGCACAGACAGACACTGTGGCGTGTGCCGCTGCTTCACCCCCACAGGCCTGAGTTTTAGGCTTCTGGTCGGTTACAGTGGTCGAGCTGATGTGCAAAATCTGAGGAATAGTCCCTCAAGTTTGACCTCACTTTAGACATTAGTAGCAAGTGTAGGGGGCTCCCACAGCTACTTTCAGTTTTGATAATTTGCTCAGAATGACTCAGAAAACTCAATGAAAACAGTGATCCTGTTTATTACAGGGAAAGGATACAGATTAAAACTAGCCCAAAGGGCTGGGGAGATAGTTCAGCTGTGTCAGCACCTGCCAGGCAAGCACAAGGTGCAGAGTTGGATCTTTAGTATGGCATGTCTTGCAGGCCCCAGAACCCGAAGAGATGGCACACACCTATAATCCCAGCCCTAAGGGAGGCTGAGACAGGAAGGTCTGCATAGTGAGACCCTGTATCAAAACAATAATAACAACAAAAGAAGAGGCACGTAGGGGAGAATCTAGGAGGAATCCAAATGTATGACTTCTTGTCATTCTCTCTCCCAGGACTTAGGGGTGGAGTTGCTGCCTCTTCCCAGTGTGTGACAGCTCCCACACATGCATTGCCAGCTGTGAAACTCACCCAGCCTGTGGTGTCTGAGTTGTTGCTGGGTCTCAATCCTTTCCTGCCCACATGGCTGACCTTTGGTCTCCAGCCACTCCTGTGGGGCACATGAATGCCGTTAGTATCTGTTTCTTCCTGGTGGTAAAATGTGGCTCCGAAGTTGTCAACACAGATCATATTTGTCCAGTAGCTAAAGTCATAGGCAGAGACCTTCCTACCAGTTAGGCAGGTTCCAAGGACCTAGAGACCTTCAGAGGGTGATGTCTGGATTTCTCTTTGGATAAGGTTAATTCTTCACTACATGGTAGGGGGTTGGTACTAAGAGTTGAACCTAGGGCCTTTGTACTGAGCAAGCTACACCCCCACCCCTTCCTTTTTATTTGGAGGTAAGATCTTTCTAATTGCCTAGGCTGGGTTTGATTTGCTGCTGCCTCAGCTGCCAGCCACCGCCCTACCCTCCCCCAGGGCTAAGATTATGGATATGCGCCATCACACCTAACTCCCCTTGGACAATCTAATAAGAACTATTGAATAGACAAAGTTAACATTATATACATGATTATTATGTTAATTTTCACTGTAAGCCACATAATCTCAAAAGTCTAACTTCCCAAATTGATGAAGCAAATGTGTAGAGATGGAAGAACATAGGGACTTGGGCTGAGGGTACAGCTCAGTTGTAGTGCTCCTTCTTAGAATGTCTGAGGTCTAGCACAGAATGAGTGAATGAATGGGAAAGATTGAAAAAAAAAAAAAGGACTTGATCTAGCCTGAGGGCAGAGATGAGGATCAGTGTTTAAGATCTAAAGGATGAGTAGGAAATAAGTGGACAGAAGAATGAAGGGGAATATTTCAAGCCTATAGAAGATCCTGTC